CTCTCCTCTGGGGACTGTCCTGTCCTAGCAGAGTCCCCATCATGGTTCTCATTCCCTGTTCCACTGACTTAATGGCCTGTTTCCCAGTTGGAAATCAGTATCTGGTTATGAATTTTTTTTTAAATTTCTTGCTATGAAGGGTCAATGGGTTAAATGCAGAACAACCTACAATGCAAGAGATCAATGACTGAGAACCTGGGAACCTTCTAGAATCTGGGTACTGAGTCTGTCGCAGGTGGGGACGGGAGAGGCTGTGAGGAGCAGGGCACAGCCAGAGCCCAGTCAAACTCCATGTGTTGTGGGCTCTGACATGGTCATTCCTCGTCAGGGTCGTCTTTGTTGCTCCTTTGTCCTTGCTGCTTCAGGAGAACCTTGTCCCACCAGGACCTGGGGTCCCAGGGACTTGAGCGTCACCTGGGCCTTGTCGTGGCTCCAGGACTGTGCTCAGTGAGGGCTTCCTGTGGCCGCATCAGCTTGGGCTCTGGCTGGATCTGGCCCTCAGCCCCTGTCTTTTGTATATTTGTTCTTTGTTGGTTTTTGTAGATATTATACCTATCCTTGGTTTTTATACATTAAATTATTGCAGTGTTAAATTATTATGTTTTTTTATTAATTGTTCAATTACTGGTGTCCCACATTTACCCTCATTGTGCCCTGCCCACTCCCCTAAATTATTACTGTTAGTTTTTTATTAAGTTTATTGTGGTTGGAGCATCATCCCAATATTCCAAGATTTCAGGTTTGACCCCTTGTCAGGGGCCATACCAATGACTGTATGAATAAGTGGGACAACCAATCGACGTCTCTCTCTTTTCCCCACCCCCGTCTCCCCCCAACTTAGTCTGAAAACAATAAATTGCTCTTTGAAAAAAAATTGTAGCCCCACACAAGTTGGTGGTAGGAGGTGGGGCCCTGGCAGGTGCTCAGACCAGGAAGGCGGGGCTTTGGTGAGCAGGCTGAGAGTCTTGCAGAAGGGTTGCAGAGAGAGCCCTGGCCCTTCCCCCACGCGAGGTCTCCCTCCCCAGCCGCAGGTGCTTCCTGCTGTCCACCGCCCTTTCCCGACCCCCATATCCCTCTGCACAGGACGAGCTCAGCCTGCAGGACCATGTCCTCCTCCCAGGAGGTGGGAACTACAACCGGGCAGCTGTGCTCACCTGTGCAGAGTTACACCCTGCGTGCTTAGGTCTCCGTCAGTCCCTGGTGTCCCCACGTCACGCGTGTCACGCTGAGTCACAGTGCTGATAAGTCCCAGGTAGGATGTGGAGGCTAGTGGAGCACAAGGGCTCAGACACGAGAGGACGGGACCTCTGACACTTGTAGGACAGCAGGGCTGTGCCCAGGGTCCACCGTTCCCTTTTCTCCAGGAACCACTGGCAGAGGTGTGTCCCAGGGGCGGGGAGTGGCCTGCCCACCGGTCTCCACGCTCCACTCCGCTACGGGGGCCAGCGTAGTTGGGAGGCCCGTTCCCTGAGAGCCCAGCTCAGTCTGCCAGCGGGTTCTGACTCCCGGTGTGGCACTGTCCCAAGTGTGACCTCGCAGGGCTGCTGACCACCATCCTGTCTGTGCAGGGTGGGTGTTCATGAAGCCCCTCACCTGCGTGGTCCGTCTCTGTGCCCCACAGAAGGTTCAGCAGCTGGTGCGACCACCACGCCCACTGCAGTTGTCTCTGTGTCCCCCACCCCCACCCCTAGGGAGGCACTTGGGCCGCGCTGGTGGGAGGGGGGGTGAAGACGTTGAAGGACCTGCACACCGGAGGCAACCCCAGGAGGTGTGATTGGAGTCCGCGGGGTCTGTGGAAGGGGGTGCGCGGGTCTGTGAGGCTCACTGGGGCTATAGGCAAACGTCCCACACCGAGCCGCGCAGGTAAGCGCCCCGCACAGGAGAGATGGAGTAACTGACGTGTGCGGTTAGAGTCTGGGACAGGGCAGGTGCCTGCGGGATGTCAGCAGGGCTGCTGCACGTCACTGCTCCCCTGAACCATCAAAACGATACCAACAGCAAAGGGGAGTGTTTCGTTTCACCCTCGAAATCCAGTGCAGGCACTGCCATTTTTGTGGTCATGTCCTGATGCCACGTTCATTGTCCTTACGGCCTGGTTCAGCGTCTCCATGGTGCTTCCTCTGCACAGACACCACGAGAGTCTGCAGCACATTCACACCCCCGCAGCCACCACCAATGCGTTCTGGAGACCAGAGTCACCCACACCGTCCTGATGCTGGTGGACACCTGTGTCACCTCCTACGTGCTGAATTCCATGTTTACACTCACATCACTGCCTTTTTACACTCTCATCTGTGGTTGATGCAGAGGCTCAGGTTCTGGTTTCCTGTTTACCCAGTCAGCTCCTCCCTGCTGGTCCTCAGGTTCCTAGAACTCCTAGGTGTGCTCTTGAGCTGTCAAAACCACAGATGAGACAGTAAATATACAGAAGACGGCTTCAATAGTAACCATAACCACTCGATTCAGGAATTATGTCTTCAGTACCATTTATTATGTAAAATCTGTAATGACCTTAGAAGCTCAGTTTGAAACTGGTGCTTCACTGGAAGATCTTCAAGTCAGTCCAGAGTATGATCACCTTGATAAAGATCCATAAAATTATAGGAAATTATGTTTCCCCACTGACCAGGGCAGCTGTTGAAGGGAATCTCCTTTCTTTAGTAACATTGAACTGTTTCCATAAATTTCATTTCAATGTCAATGTGGGCAATACTTGTCCAAAAAACTATGCAAATTTTATCCCCTCGATGAAGACAATCCTAGGAATGGAGATGTGCTTTCTACATTATTTTGTGTATTTTTTCATATCTCTCCCATACTCTGGCATGCTACACATAAAATAAGGGTCATTCCAATGAGGTGCTACTTTTGACTTGGGAAGATTTTTAAAAATTCTCACTTGAAGATCTGTTTACTGATTCTAGAGAGAGAGGGAAAGGGAGAGAGACAGAGAGAGGGAGGGAGACAAACATTCACCAGTCGCCTCTTGTCTGTGCCTGGATGGAGGACCACACCCACAACCTCGTAGGTGCCCTGACTGGGACTCTGATCCACAGCCCTTTGGTGTAGGGAGGACACTCCAATAAACTGAGCCACGGAGCCAGGGTTGAAGTTTTGTTTTGTTTTACACAGTCGACCTTTTGTGAAGTTTGTTGATTGAATGGATGAGGTGCTATTAAGATGCCTCAAAGCTGCCATTTATCGATTTGTTAATAGAATTTTTAGTTTAGTTAATGAAATATAGAAGTGGGGACTTTGTTTGCTTTTTATGCTTTTTTTTTCCTTTTGTGGCAATCTGGTGTTTTTAATATCTTATGTTAGTTACTGGTGTTAAGTTATATCTTTTTCCGTGGTTGTGGTAGCCATTTAAAATGCATTTCCAAAGTAGTATAGTGTAGTTAGGACTGCTGTTGACCATTTCAAAGATTATGTAAGAATTCTACCTATTTCTGTATACCTCCTCAAATGCTTTGAGAAACTAATTTCATGTATTTTTATTCTGTTATTACCCACAACAAATATGATTTCTACCATCATGAGCTAGTGAGCTCTTCCAGAAAATAAGAAATGGAATAGAAGTGTAGATTACCCATGTATCCCCAGGATGGCTAGTTCTGTAAATTACCATATTTCATGTAAATGTGTTATTCATATATACTATAAAGAACATTCCTTAGCTTTTTTTTTTAGTGCAGGTTTTGTCTAGGTGATGTGTTTCCATGTTTATTTACATAAAATTATCTTTATTTCACCTACAGTTTCTCTTATAAAATCATACAAACTACTTTCATTTTCAAAAGAGAGTAAAATGTGACCAACAAAAAAATGTATTTAGCACCAATGAAACTCATCTTAAAAAGTAATTCAATGTCCACAAATGATTTTTACTTTTAAAATACTTGATTTGAAATCATTTCAAATATACATAATGTCCCCCTTCCCCAGATACTACAACTGGTAACGCTTTGCTGTTTTTGACTTGTCCACTGTTGTTCTGAATTGTTCTCATTATTAGTACGTTTTCATCGCGTGAGAGCACCGTGTGCGCATCTGAAGCCCAGGGCGTGGTTTCCCAGACACTGTCACACCACATCTGCACCGCCCTTCGATGTACAAAACCAGCGTCGATGCAACTCGACCGCTCTATCTACACGCTTGTTCCGATTTTCCCACTGGTTCAAAACACCTCGTCTTCTTTTCTTGTTGAGTGTTCCCACCAGGTATATATGTCACATTTCATTTTGGTGGCTCTTTCTTCTTCTTTGTGCGCTGCCCTGAGGAAGTGAGGAGGCCTCCCCACTTCCCCATCATCCACAGTCACAGATACACCAGGTGCACATGACTCTCAGTGCAAACCTTGGCTACTGGATCTTCGTCCAGGTGACAAGCCTGAGTTAGAGCAATGGGTTCAGCGTGCTGGGCAGATTTCATTTCCAGTCGGTGAGAGCTCTCAATTGCGTCCACCATGGAAGTTACTGCATGTCTCTCTCAGTAATGTCCCTGTTCATCCTTCAGATAACATCCCTCTGTAACCAGGTTAAAGCAGCAGCATCAGTAGGAATTTCCTGTACATCACTCCTAGAAACCAGTAGGTGGTCAGTCAGCACAACACACTGTCTTCATGCTGCAAAGGGGGTAACAGGTGCAGGGTTAAGGTGATCACACCCAGTTAAAGTGACATCAGGTGCAGAGATCAAACACTTTCCTAAGAAGCCAATTGACGCACAGAGACGTGTTGAGTGCAATGAAAGGTCAGTAAAGAGTCAGAGGAATGAGGAACATCAATAGATAAAGGAGAACCCATAACCACTTCCTCTGTTTACATAGCCTGACTGCAGCAGGCCGTCCAGCATAGCGTGGGGGCGGGGGGTGCGCAGAGGGTTCTTTGTGCAGGAAGAGGGCTCGTGGCAGAGTCCCGGGTCCCCAGACCTGAAGACTCAAATATTCTCGCTCCCATTGGGTAAAAGAGTTAAAGAGCAGCCAATCAGCGTCACCGTGGTTCCGGGTGTAAAACCTCACCGAGAACCGAAACTCACCTCCCTAGACGCTCCGGTTGGGGTCATGGGGGCGGGAGCCCTGCTCCTGCTGCTCTCGGGGGCCCTGGCCCTGACCGAGGCTGGGGCTGGTGAGTGCGGGGTCGGGAGGGAACGGCCTCTGTGGGGCAGGAGTGAGGGGACCCGGCGGGGGCGCGTCTGCAGAACCCCAGCCAAGAACCAGATCACCGACTCCCTCCTGGACTCACACCTGCCCCTCCCCCCCTTTTCGGTCCCGCTGTTCCCCAGCCCCTGCAGGCCCGACCTCGGACCAGAGACGCGCATCCTTCCAGTCCCCGGGCACCCACAGCCTGAGAATTCTCACCACCACCGTGTACCGCCCGGGCCGTGAGAAGAACCGCTACATGGGCGCTGGCTACGTGGACGACACCGAGATGGTGCGGTACGACAGTGACGCCAAGGGTCCCAGGCTGAAGCTGGCAGCCGCGGGGTTGGTGACGCTGTTGATGGAGTGGCGGCGCGGGGAGGCGGAGCATCGACAGTTTTGGGACGACTACATGCTCAAAATCCAGCACTACGAACAGATGAGCAGTGCGAACCTGAACAAGCTGTGCGCCCACTACAACCAGAGCGAGGACGGTGAGCAGGCGCCCCGGGTCTGGGCACCACCCCCATCCCCACGGGCCTGCCTGGGTCGCCCGGATTCCGGGTCGGAGCGCCCACACGAGGCTGCTGGACCCTCCCTGCCCCCAGTGAGGGAGGACCCCGGGAGGATGTTGATGCAGTTTCATTTTCTTGTTAGCTTCAATCACAGTTGAAGGGCACAGACGGGTCGGGTCCCCGACACACCTGTTCTCGGGGCGGGTCTAATGACCCCCGCCAACCTGGGGGCGGGGTCAGGGTCTCACACCTTCCAGGAACTGAGTGGAAGCGTGGTGGGGTCAGACGGGCGCTTCCTCCATGGGTACAATCACTTCGCCTACGACGGCGCCGACTACGTCTCCCTGACCGAGGACCTGCGCTCCTGGACTGCAGCGGCAGGAATCAGCTGGAGCAAAATTGTGCAGGTCCCCGATGTGGAACGAAGGAGAGCCTACCTGCAGGAAAAGTGCGTGCGCTGGCTCCGCCTGATCCTGGAGAAGGGGAGGGAGACTCTGCTCCTAGCAGGTACCTAGGCACAGGCCTCCCTGAAGAGGGGACCTGTGGGCTGGGGCAGCTTTCTACAAGGAGAGGAGGAAAATGGGGCAGTGTCAGAATGTCGCTCCAGCTCAGGACAGGGAAGAGTCCCCCAGGTCTCCTTCTTTTGTGACTCACCCGTGAGACCAGCTTTCGCTGAAGGACAGTAAGGGGCCCAGCCTCTCCCTGAAACACCCCACAGCAGTTCCCTCACACCCTGCAGCACCTGGTGCACCAGGACACTCTCCCTGGTTCTCAGGCTGAGACCCTCTCTGGAGGCCTGACTGTGGCTTTTCTGAGTCATCAGCTCCCACCTGAGACTGTGTCTCCCCTTAGACACCTGCACACTCCTACCCTAGGTTCTCACTCTGATTCTGGAACTTTCCAAGGAAATAGGAGATTATCCAAAAAAATAAGAGATTATTCCAGGTGCCTTTGCCCAGGCTGGTGTCTGGGTGGTGTGCTCCCTTCCCCCAACCCCATTGTTCTGTCCACTCTCAGGGTGGTCACATGAGCACTGCTGGAGTGTCCCATGAGCATGCAAAGATTCGGAATTTTCTCACCCTCCCCTCAGACCATCCAAAGACACACGTGACCCACCACCCCATCTCTGACCACGAGGTCACCCTGAAGTGCTGGGCCCTGGGCTTCTACCCTGCGGACATCACCCTGACCTGGCAGCGTGAAGGGAAAGACCTGACTGAGGACATGGAGCTAGTGGACACCAGGCCTGCAGGGGATGGAACCTTTCAGAAGTGGGCAGCTGTGGCTGTGCCCCCTGGAGAGGAGCAGAGATACACGTGCCATGTGCATCACCAGGGGCTGCCTGAGCCCCTGACCCTGAGATGGGGTGAGGAGGGGACAGAGCCTCTCCTCAGGGTGTCCCTGAGCAGGGTCAGGACTCAGGCCTGAGGTTGACTTCTCACCCTCCCCTCACAGAACCCCCTCCTCAGACCTCCATCACCATCATCTTTGTGGGCATTGCTGCTGCCCTGGGTCTCCTTGGAGCTGTGGCTGCTGGAGCTGTGCTGTGGAGGAGGAAGAGCTCAGGTGGGCAAGGGGTGGGGCTGAGTTTCCTGTCCCCCCGGGGGCCAAGCCCAAGTGGAAGTGTGCTCTGCCTCGTTAATGGGCATCGTATCCCCACACGGGTGCTTGTCCATCTGGGGCCTATTTCCTAACACTGACTCTTTAGTGAGGCCCATGGGAAAGTGAGGGACACATTTATCACCTGATGATTCTAGTGATGGGGACTGATTCCCAGGTGTCCCAGGTCAGAGGGGAAGCTCCCTGCTGAGGACAGACATCCACACAGATGGTTGGTCCATTCCTGGCACATGTATTGTCCCTATATTTCCTGATCTCAACCTGGTATTCAGTCACAGTTCTGGAAACTTCTCTGTGCTTCAGGAATGTGGGGCTCCTTTAGCGTCAAGGGACCCAGCCTTCCCCCTGACTTCTCACAGAATGTTTTCTTCCCACAGGCAGAGGCAGGGAGAACTACACTCAGACTGCCTGTAAGTCTGGGTGTTGGGGAGGTAACGTCTGGGACTCTTGGGAGAGTGTGGGCTGGAGTCTGTGAGGAGCACTCCCCACCCCCTAAGTCTGCTGTTGTGTCTTCCCCAGGCAACAACAGTGTCCAGGGCTCTGATGAGTGTCTCCCAGCTCTTAAGGGTGAAACTCTGAGGCAGGAAGTAACAGGCATTGTGACCAGGAGGCCCAGCGAAGTTTTTGGTTCTCTCAGAATGGGACATTCTGAGCATGTGGTGAGCTACAGGAAAATGTGACACTTCTGAAATTGACCTGAATTTCTTCATGACAACTTTCTTTCCCAGTGCGACAGAGCTGCCTTGTCCAGGACTTTGTACTAAATAGTCATTGCAGCTTCCCCTTGGGACTTTAAGCGACCCTGACTGCTGTTTCTGCAACTGGCATCAGAATGTGTCTTCTTATCAGCATCAGTGAGGAGCTGGTCACCATGCTACCCTCCCCATAGGGACCTGTGTCCTCTGCCCTGGGGACTACCCTGTCCTAGCAGAGGTAGGGTGAAGCCATCCCCATCCTGGTCATCCTTTGACTGGATCATCTTTGTTGCTCCTTTGTCCATGGTGCTTCCGGAGAAACTTGTCCCCCCAGGACCTGGGATTTTAGGGACTTGAGGGTCACCTGGGCCTTCTGGTGGCTCCAGGACTGTGCTCAGTGAGGACTTTCTGTGGCTGCATCAGCCTGGGCTCAGGCCTGGGTCTGGCCCACAGCCCCCATCTTTTGGGTGTTTGTTGTTTCTTTTTCTTTTTTTCTTTTATATATATTGTACCCTTGTTTTGTAAAAATTAAATTATTTTAGTTTTTAGTTAAATGATTGTGGTGTGGTTTTTAATTAAATCATTGTGCTTGGAGCATCGTCCCAATATGCCAAGGTCGCAGGGTTGATCCCAAGTCAGCAGCCCTGCAAAAGTCTACCGATGAATGTAGGAAGTAGTGGGACCACCAATCAATTTTTCTCTCTCTCTCCCTCCCCCCATCTCCCTCCATCTCTCTCTAAAATCAATCAATAAATTGATTTTTGAAAGAAAATTGTAGCCCCACCCAAGTCGGTGGTAGGAGCTGGGGCCCTGGCAGGTGCTCAGACCAGGAGGGCGGGACTTTGGTGAACAGGCTGAGTCTTACAGCAGGGTTGCAGAGAATGCCCTGGCCCTTCCCCCACGGGAGGTCTCCTTCCCCAACCCTGACTGTGTCCCCCTTTCCAGGGCCCCCCGGCCCCCATGTCCCTCCACACAGGACAAGCTCAGCTGCTGGGACCATCTCTTCCTTCTGAGAGGTGAGAACGCAGGCCCGCAGCTGTGCTCACCTGTGCAGAGTTACACACTGTGCACCTCGGCCCCCGAGTGCGTCCCCGCTGTCCCCACAGCATGGGTCACACAGCGCTGATAATCCCAGGTGAAATACAGATGCTCGTGGAGCACAAGGGGCCAGACTCAAAGGGATGGGGTCTCTGACAGTGTTGTAGGACAGCAGGGCTGTGCCCAGGGTCCTCCGTGTCCTTCGTCTCCAGGAACCACTGGCACCCACGTGTCTGAGTTGCTGGGAGTAGCCTGTCCCTGCGTAGGAAGCGGGTCGGGAGGCGGGGCTGGAAGCCGCATTCCAGGGTCACCCAAGCCCCATCTGCGGGAGGATTCTGACTCCTTTGTGGTGCTGTCCCCAAGCGTGACCATGCTGGGCTGGTGGCCACTATCCCGTCAGTGCAGGGAGGGTGTTGGTGAAGCCCCTCACAGGCGAGGTCGGACTCTGAGAGGTGTGATCGGAGCCCGCGGGGATGTGAAAGGGGGTGTGTGGGTCTCTGGGTTCAATGGGGCCAGAGCAAAGGTCCCACATGGAGCCACGCAGGTAAGCGCCCCCCACAGGAGAGATGGAGTAACTGCCATGTGCGGTTAGAGCCCTCGGACAGGGCAGGTGAGTGCAGGGTGTCAGCAGGGCTGCCGGGAAGGACGGCTATAGGATCAATCCCAGAAGGGAGACATTCATATATAAACGTGCTTAAATGCATGCACACAAACACACCGCTGTTACTTTGAACATACCAATAAAATGAAGAACAATAAACATTTCTACTTTCCCTTGCTCCTTTCTCTATTTAATTTTCTTGAATCTTCATCTAAGGATTGTTTTTCTCCCATTGTTTATAGAGACAGGATTGGAGAGAGAGAGAGAGACAAACTTCCATGGGAGAGATCAGTTGCCTCCTGCACCTGTCCCACCCAGGACTTGAACTAGCAGCCTTGGCCTATCGGAATGATGCTCTAACCAGCTGAGCTACCTAGCCAGGGTGATACATTCTCATAGTAGGCAGGGTGACCATGAACTCTAAGGGGGGGGGGTGCAGGGTGTGTCCCCTGTCACACACTCGCAGACTCAGGACCTGGTATTGAACTCCCACTGTGGGTCAACTGCATTGTTGACCATGACAGACGTGGTCCTGAATCCATGGACCCGACACTCTGGTGGGGAGTCGGAAGATAAAAGTAAATAGAATAAATACACAATAATAATGGGAAGCGGGGTACCTGGTTCAGGTGCATGTTCTCCAGGTAAAGCCATTGCAATGAAGAACTACAGTGTCTTCTGTCTCAGGAGAAGAGCGAGAGTCCGCCCCCTGGTGGTCGTGCAGGAAGACTGTGGCGTCTCCACTGGCATGGCCTCCAGCACACTGAGCAGCTGTGTCCATGTCTTTTCAGGTCAGTGTCCCAGGACCCCAGGGCAGGAGGCTCTGAAAACTATCTTCCTTTGAAGATGGGGGCTGGGGCTGTGGCCTCTGTCATTCTCTTCACTCTTACTTGGACACAGACAGAGGTCGACACACGTGATCCTCACCCACATGGCTGTGGCCAATGCCGTGGCTCCTCTCTCCCTGGGATTCCCCACACAAGACAGCTTTGGTTTTGAGGAGCCCCCATCCAGCCTGGGATGTAACTGTGTCTGATATGTACAGAGAGTGGTCTGTGGCAGCACCCTGTGCTCCACCTGAGTCCTGAGCACCTATGAGTCCTTCACACTCAACCCTGGGAGAGTGGAGTGGCCCAAGCTCAGAGGAAGAGCCCCAAGCTCCTCGGGCCTTCCTGTTGCATCTGCTGGGTGTTCGTTTCTTAATAAATATTTCAGCACCTGTGAACGTCACTGCTCCACAGAGTTGGCAAAACGATACTAACAGCAAAGGGAAATGTTTAATTTCACCCTTGAAATCCAGTGCAGGCATTGCCACCTTGTGGTCATGTCCTGTATCACATTGATTGTCCTCAGGGTCTGGTCCAGCATCTCCATGGTGCTTCACCTGCACAGACACCACCAGAGGCTGCAGCATATTCACACCCCTGCAGCCACCCCCAATGCTCTCCAGTGGCCAGAGCCACTCACACCTTCCTGATGCTGGTGGACACATGCATCACCTTCTACATGCTGAATTCCATTTCTGCTTTTTACGTCACTGTGTGAGACGACCCTCATTTTCAGTGGGTGCAGACCTCCCCTAGTTGGCTTCCTGTTCTCCTGCTCTTCACCTCCCACTGCAGATGCTCATGGATCCTAGAGTTCCTAGGGTCATGAACTGTTAGCAGTTCTAATCTGTGGATGTCAGTGTTTATAATATTTCTAACTACACTGTTCAGTGATCCTTCACTAAATGCCAAAGTTGTACATAAAATCCACCATGAACTTAATTTTTAAGTTAAAATATAACTGACACACAACCTCATGTAAGTGTAAGGTGCCCAATGTGTTTATCTGATGCACTTACATTCACTCATGTGCTGCCTAACGGTGGTGATCCACCCTGAGAAATGTGTGGTTGTGCAATGTTGTGGTTGTGAGAACAGCACAGAGGCATTCGTGCCTGGATGGTCTCCCTACTGCTCACCTGGACTGCAGGGCTCAGCCTGTTGCTCCTGGGCTGCAAGTCTGTACAGCACATTGTACAAAACAATTTGTACAATAATCAACACAGCAGAAGATGTCATCAAGAGATGTGGTAAACACAGGACTTCTGGCCAAGATGGAGGCATAGGTAGACACACTGTGCCTCCTCACACAACCAAAATAAGGACAACAACAATTTAAAAACAAAAAACAACCAGAACTGACAGAAAATTGAACTGTATGGAAGTCTGACAACCAAGGAGCTGAAGTAGACACATTCATCCAGACTGGTAGGAGGGGCGGAGTTGGGGAGCCTGGACAGAGAGGGCTTGCAGCAGGGCAGCTGGTGACCCCAGGCACACAAAGTGGCAGCTGGCAGACATACCGAGGTGGTGGATTGTGGAGGGGCACAGAGCACAAGGTGTCTGGCAGACCAGGTGGTCCCACGTTCACATGCAGATAAACAGGTAAAGCTGGGGAGTGAGACAGACCTTGCAACCCAGTGTCCCCATGTGGGGAAATAAAGTCTCAAAACACTGATTCAAAACACCTGTGGTGTTGAGGTGCCAGGAGAAACTCCCAGCCTCACAGGAGAGTTCATTGGAGAGACCCACAAGATCCCAGGATGTACACAAACCCATCCACACAAGAATCAGCACCCGAAGGGCCCAATTTGCTTGTGGGAGACAGGGGAAGTGACTGAGATCTGGAAGAGAGCAGAGCAAGTGCCATTGTTCCCTCTTGGACCCCTGCCCCACATACAGTGTCAAAACACAGCAATGTGGGTTGACCTGCCCTAGTGAACACCTAAGGCTCCATTCCTTACTACATAACAGGCACATCAAGACAAAAAAAAAATGGCCCAAATGAAAGAACAGATCAAAGCTCCAGAAAAAATATAACTAACCATTGAAGAGATAGCCAACCTATCAGATGCACAATTTAAAACACTGGTAATCAGGATACTCACAGAATTGGTTGAATTTGGTTGCAAATTACATGAAAAAATGAAGTCTACACTAAGTGAAATAAAGGAAAATGTGCAGGGAACCAATAGTGATGGGAAGGAAACTGGGACTCAAATCAATTGGTTCAACCAGAGGGAAGAAAGAAACAACCAAACAGAAAAAAATGAAAAAATAAGAATTCAAAAAAATGAGGAGAGGCTTAGGAACCTCCAGAACATCTCTAACGTTGTTCCAACATCCAAATTATAGGGGTACCAGAAGGAGAAGAGGAAGAGCTACAAGTCAAAAAATCATTTGAAAAAATTATAAAGAAGAACTTCCCCATTCTGGCTAAGGAAATAGACTTCCAGGAAGTCCAGGAAGCTCAGAGAGACCCAAAGAAGTTGGACCCAAGAAGGAACACACCAAGGCACATCATAATTACATTACCCAAGATGAAAGATAAGGATGGAATCTTGGAAGCAGCAAGAGAAAAGAAGAGAGTTACCCACAAAGGAGTTCCCATAAGACTGTCAGCTGATTTCTCAAAAGAGACCTTACAGACAAGAAGGGGCTGGAAAGAAGTATTCCAAGTCATGAAAGGCAAGGACCTACATCCAAGATTGCTCTATCCAGCAAAGCTTTCATTTAGAATGGAAGGGCAGATAAAGTGCTTCTCAGATATGGACAAGTTAAAGAAGTTCATCATCACCAAGTTCTTATTATATGAAATGTTAAAGGGGCTTATCTAAGGGAAAGAAGATCAAAAACATGTCTAGTAAAATGACAGCAAACTCACAATGATTAACAACCACACCTAAAACAAAAACAAAAACAAAAACAAAATAAGCAAACAACTAGAACAGAAACAGAATCACAGAAATGGAGATCACATGGAGGGATAGCAATAGGGGAGTGGGAGGAGGAGAGAGGGGAAAAAGGTACAGAGAATAAGTAGCATAGATGGTGGGTAGAAAATAGACAGGGGCAGAGAAAGAATGAT